ACACCCAAAGTCCAGCCTGATACAGATTTTATCTTGTCGAGTGGCGGATTAGATATCAACTACTTAAGGACTACAATACAGTAAATTGTGAAAGTGGATAACTACAACTTGCCACATTTTATAAATAAACAATTTTCTTCTTTAACGAAAAAATTGACGAGCAACTCACAGTGGTCAAGGTCAAGATGAAGTGACCAGGTGTTTCTTTCTGTTTTCATTTTAAACATTGTAAATTTAGGTCACAAGGTGTTAATATCCAGCTACATTAGGTTTTAGTTCTCCCATATGCTCTATCAAAATAATCATCTATTATAATTCAAAGGTAGTTATTGTAGAGTTCACAAGATCCTTGCATGCTTTTGGGACAGGGTTCCAATTAGTAGGTTGTTATGGTCTGAATCCTGGTTCTTGTACCACTAGGACCGAGCAACTGACACCTAAGGTCTTGGCAAACTTAAAAAGGCATCTCTCTTGAAAGAATACTTGAAGTAGACTAACACCATGCATACCGTTGTCTCAATGACGACGGCAATAAAATTCAGGATGAGAATGAATGCTACACTGTAACCAAATTTGGCACTTCGAACAAACTCTTTCAGAGTCTCTGAAGCAGGTGAGTTGTAAAACCCTGGGCAGCTTCCAAAAATCGGTTCCTGCAAATAAAAAAATTTTAGGCAGGGCATAGGCATTAAAATTAAATAATAATAACAATATTATATCCAGTTTCTAGAGGTGCACTTACAATATCCTCCTTTTGAAATCTGAGTCCAATGGCGTGAGACAGATCAGCAAATTCCTCCAAATTAATCTGCATGTATGACCAGGAAAAGCAATAATGGTATCAGTAGCTAGTTGATCAACATTTGATGAGAGGTTCTCTTAATAAAAGAACATACATGCCCTTTCTACTTGCAACTATTCCTTTTCCTTACTTTTTTTATCCTAGCAAGTTGCTTCCTCTAGGAGTGCCATTTTCATGATAGAAACTATCAAGTGGGTATTATGATTTTGGAAATCGAATGAGTTCTTTTGTTATTAGGCTAATATTTGAGTCTTTGTAAGTATCCAACAAATCAAATTACTCATAGATTATTTATTTTGTTTTTGTTTCTAATAAACACACTGGCGAAAATACTAAAATAATTATACATAGAACTGTTTGGAAGACTTAACATACCATGTGAACTAGTTATCTGTGATATTTCACGATTGAGAAATCTTAAATGAGCAAAAATATTTTACTTCAGAGCAAGGCCTCAATGTAAAGAGTCGTCTTTCTTATTGTAATGTTTAAGATGATTCCTGTTTTCTCATTAATACTGTAAGATTCCACCTATTTATGGATATCTGCTTTTATCAACAGCAGGTAGAATCTAAGTATCCATGAATTTTCCAATATATGCAACCTTTCTCTAAAGTCTTCAGCATCCAAGAATAATTCAGTCTAAATGATTTATGGGAATGCTCAAGTATGATAAATTTCAGGATAATATTGGATTTGGAGTTTCATTAAGAAGGATATACTTAATTAACCATTTCCTCGTAACAACATAATTCTCAAAGCAATTAGTCAATTAATATGAACCAAGAAACCCACTCTATTACCTTAGACGGTATCCAGGATTCAAACAGAAAAAGGAAAGAAAATAATAATTTGAAAATAGGACCATTTTCTTTCAGAAACTGATGACACTGTTTAAGGTGTTACGTAAAACATCTTCATAAAAGGCACATTTACTAGCTCGTTAAAGCTTTCACGTAAAATAGCATAAATATAGATCATACACATCTATATCTATACTATTATGAAAGTAGGAGTTATTTTGTAACAAATGAACCTACTAAAAAGGTACTTGTGCTGAGTAAAATTTTAATGGCAAAATTGTAATTATAAATATTGAAAGATAAAAACTATTAAAAAAATAAATACTTTTGCTTATTATAGGACTCTAATCTTATATCAAACATCTTTAAACAGGTATGAGTCCGAACATGATTGATAAATAACTTAAATAATTTATAATATAATATTTTTAATAAAAGCGAAATATAAGTAACAAAAACATAATTTGAATTTCATGTAGTTCCGGCGCTTATTTACAAATTCTATGAAATTTAAAATAATTTTTGAAAGATAGAATTAGCACGTGAGCATAAGCTAATATAAATTTAATCCACTAATTAAAAATCAACTTTACCTACTTAATTAATTTTGTTATTGAATTTCACATTTACTTGCACACTACTATAGATTGACTAAAAATACATTTATCAACCATATGAGACCAACTTATTATTTAATATTCACAGCATGCCGAGAACTCAACTACGAACATTATCTTCATATTTATGAACTGATTCAAATTTTAATATTTACATATAATTATATATCTGTAATAGATGTACAAATTTTTTACAATTTAATCCATATATTTGTGAATAATTTCAGTTGGAAATTGAATGATTATATTGTGGATAATGACGAGTACATAGATGTTTTATTTAATATTTTTTAATATGATTGGCATTAAAGGTTAATATTTTATTATTGAAATTTATTCTGAGTTAAATATTTATATTACGTTCATACTTTATACTTACACAATGACAATTGTTTACGATTAATCCATACGATTATATCAAATAAAAAATATATTGCTCTTTATACTTACACAATGACAACAATCTAAATAGTGATTAATCCATAAGATTGAGTTCTCTATATTTATATTATCCATCTTAAACCTATGTTTTAAATTTGAATAAAGGCAATTAATATTTATATTTATATGAATAACTTACATGAAGGACTTTGAAATTGAAAATCATGGGATAATCACAAATGAGTAAAAAAAATGAGCTGAGGAAAACTTTAAAAGTAAAGGGAAAGAAAATCTCTTATTCAATCATCCAGAATTGACACATTTATATTAGATATTGTGTTTTTTTTCTATTTAGCTATTTTTATTGTCATTAGAAACTGATTGTTTCCATCTATTTTACATTGGTACCTCAATATGTCATTCCAATCTCTATATATTACAAAAGAATGATGTTATTTTATTTAAATTTACAAGTTATATCAATCTTTTTTATTTTATTTTATTCCATTATTGACATGATTAATATCTAATTATTTTTTTCACTAGAAAAATAATCAACAAAAATATAATAACTACCACGTGAATTGCACGTACACTTTACTAGTCATCATAAAAGGCATAGATAAAGAGAACTTGTAGCATGACGGTCGACAAAATATCTAAAATATATATCTAAAATAGTTAGTCCATTGCCAATAGAGTCAATATCACTATGCGAGTTAATGTGTGCATACATGAAAAGGAATGGGCAACCTGCTATTGAAAATGAAAAATGCCCATTAAAATGGTAATGGGGTAGAAGAAGCTACCTTCACATCATGACTATCATCCAACTCGTAGAAGATTAACTCAAAATCCTCTCGTGATATTTTTGGCAATGTCCTATGTTTATGTTGAAAACAAAAGTTGTCAACATACAGAAATAAATAGTGAACTATGAACACTGCATTCAACGAGAGATGCTGGAAATGAATGAGAGATGCAACATCTGAAGGACTAATGTTGTCTGGGTGACAACAATTTCATGCGTTCCTAAAGTTATATTTCAGTTGATTCTCTAAACATTCATGCATCAAGGAAATATTCATGAACTTTATACACCAATAATTAAAATTATTGAGTAAAATGATCTTAGATTACTGCAAAACTTATAGCAAGGGAAGCTTTTGTGGATGAGAACTCTACCTGTATTTGTTGAGTTCTTCGAACAAACGAATGCATTGATCTTTGTCAAGGAAGCCAAGATTCTACAAAATACCAAAATTGCGAAAAAAAATAAATTATAACTGCGAATTAACCAAGAAATCTGGAACAATATGCTTACAATGATGTGCACTCATCAAAAATTCAAAATCTTGGACTACATTGAAAGAGAAGTCTTTAAAAATAATAATAATAATAATAATAATAATAAATATGTCAAGTCATTTCACAAAATTGGAGAATAGGACAGGGATAGGATTCGAACCCCTGACTCTCTCTAGCAGAGGAGGCTAGGTACCATCTCACCTATGGAGAGTTGGTGAAAGAGAGAAATTAATTGAGTAACATGAGCTGCTTCATTTATTTGTGAAGAGGGGTGAACAGCCACAGAAATTCGGGTTCTTAACTAAATAACAAGTGGATCTTACCTAGCACCTTTTAACTCATGAAGAGTACTAAATGGAAAAGATTACATTACAAGATTTTCTACTAAAATACAGAAAGTAAAAAAAAAAAAGGAAAATACAACCACTTGGAAATACAAATCAAACTCACTTGGCTATCAATCAGGTTAAAAGCTTTCTTCAGTATTCTTGTTCTATTGCGGTCCTTCTCAGCAACTTGTTTTACAAGCTACAAAGAAGAGTATAGTTAGAAACTTTCAAGTTTTTAAACATGAAAATACACAAACATTTTCAAGGTCATCTGCATATCCAGCTGCTAATCCTTTACAAATGAATTCACTATTTTCTTTATTACAAAGCCCAACCATATAGATTATGATATATTGTGATAGAACATCGACAAAGCATGGGAGTCTATCTTTGAAGGTACTGCATCCAATGAAAGATGGCTCTTCCATGCTAACAAACATTGTAGGAAATTTCAATCCATCTTGCATGCCATGAATATGAAATGCTATTCGACCAATTTATCCATTTAATCAGGTTGGTACCATCAAATATGGTACTTCAGTAGTAAATTCATATTCTACCACTTCCTGACCCTTCTGCAAGGCTTTACCATGAGATGGCATGCCTTCATTGCTGTTACAATTAAACCAAACTTCTACTAGTACCCTTATATTCATATCAAACTATTGCAAACTACAATAGGTGGAGTAATGAAAGAAAAAAGAAACTTATTAGTTCTTGCAGAAGAAATTAAGATCTTCAAACTTAAGCAACCATCAATCTAAAATGTGTTTCCATTGAATTCTCTCTACAACAATATCATGCTAGGGAGACTTGAAATTCACTCTAAAACCTCCAGCTTGAAACAATGACAGTGCATCAATCAAACTGCGAGTCCAAAGGCTTTCTAAGCCACCTTGCAGGATACAAAAAACCCGCTGTAGAGACACCTCATTTAGTATGAATCAACCTGACCAACTGCATATATTTTTTCAGTCCACAAGTTCAGTGACTAAATACTTCCTCCTAATTCCTTAGCCCAAGAAGGCAATTATCTTTAATCTTAAGCTCTAATAACATGGATGTTTTAGCAAATACAATTACCTTATTCTTCAATATTATTCAAATGCTTGATGGAGAAAGTAACTACTGCTACATTTAATAAAAAGTCAATATGCAGAAGTGTACCTCGTTCTTAAAGCTATCGTATACGACGGCAAGGATCAAATTGGTGACAAAGTAAACGCCCAATAGCACATACAGAACAAAGAATAGGCAATACCAACGTGAGGCCCTACAAAGATAAATAGGGCCAACATAAGTAATACTAGAGGTAATTAGTAGGATAACTGGAATCCATATTCTGTTTATCGATTATAATATCACCATTTTTGTTCAGTATGCTTGCAAGTAGTTTGCAAGGGCAACAAGGAATTACAAACAAGCATACAAACACGGAAGGGGCACCAAAATATTCATTCCTCAGAGCTACTTACTTGTATGCAGGAATCCAGACATCTGGATTGTTGGATGTGGTGAATAAAACAAACATCTGGTATAATGTTTCACCATATGAAGTGAATAGTGTCCTTCCCTGTACAGTATCTTCAAAGATAACATATGCCAACCAGCTCGAGAACAGAAGAAATAATAGCCACAAAGCCTGCATTGGGCCAAATAACGAGAATGAAAAGTATAATAGAAATGATTATCTAAGTAATTTTAAGTTACTCAGAGATGTTTTAAATGGAAAAAATTTTAGAGNTTGGAAAACGCACCAGGACATTCAGATAAGTCCCAAGCATTCCAGCGAGGATGATGATGCTATCTCGGATATCCCTACAGTCATTAAAGAAATGTTGTATCTCATCATAAGTAGACTCATAGTTACAATAATTGGAAGCACAAGATCTTTAAAGTAGTGTGTTTCTTTCACACAAAGCCATGATCATGATCTTCCAACATCTTGGTCTTGGCGAAAGTTTACCGAGACAATTAATTGTTGTAGGTTATCTTCTTCCAACTCGGCCCTATCCAGAAAAACTATATGCTCATTTGATATAGCATTTTCATCAATTTTGTTGACCAATGTCTAATTTCCCCATTCTATCTTAATCAGAATTTTTTGACTTCCAGCTAAGGTTGTCCTAAGTGCACGCTACCAGGTAATTATAGGTCATGTGGGCATGATATATTGACAAAACTATATCATAGAAGAACTTGAATGCTTATATAATTCAGCTCAACAGCCTATTTATATTAACCATGTTGTTTTGTGTAATGTCCAGCAAACAAACACGACGAGAAGTGTTCGACTTAAAATACTTCAGCCCCACAATAGTTCCTAAAGTCGCCACCTGGTCTGATTGGTGTTCTACTCTATTCCTCCCTTTCAACAAATACATAGGAAGTCATATTCTTGTGCTGCAAAACCATGGGAACCCAGCAAGAACCACCATCTACTTTTTATTGACTGCTTTGGAGATGATGGCACTTAGAAGAAATGACAATTAAGACCTAGTCCCCAATGGAAATTCCAAATCTTAGACGAAAAGAACATAACAAACTGTAAAACTGGAAACGCAGAGATATTAAGGGGCAAATATAAGGAAGATACAACTGTATCTATAAGGCTGTTGAAACACAAGCACATAAACATCTACGTTATAAGAATTCTCAACATTCAAGGCATAAAGACTTGGGTACTGTATACGAGTACACCAAATGAAAGGTGAATAGCAACATTACCTGATGTTAAGAACAAAAAACACAACTCGGATGTAAGGTGCAATCCGGAATGGAAGAGTATAGAAAGCCACAGGAGAAACATATATAGCATAGACTGAGAGATCCAAAGCCAATACTAACAACAAAAGCACCTGCCAATGAAATAGTTTGAAAGAGTTAGAAGGGAAAGTATCAAGTGTAAAAATTCTTACAATAACTATTACTAATAAAATGAATTAATATTTAAGAATTTTTGGTATTTCCCAGAACTGCATATGCGAGGTGGGAACCGGGACATATCGGCTCCAAAAGTACTCAAATTATCCAAGGTTTCATCCTGTTTTTCTGAATGTAACGCATGTAAAAAGGCTGTTTCCAGAATTTCATCTTCAGGACTAGGTTGTTTTATAGGGTGAGGGAGTTTTTGGATCAGTTTGTACTGATGTATAATAAGAGGGGGAGAAAGAAAGGTGAAATAGTGTGTTGAGCCAGAACTGAACAACAGTACGGATGGACATTGTAATAAAAATTGATATATTTATCTTTAATTAGCTATTGGTACAATTTAATGATCTTCTGGTTTAAGTGATTAATTAAGCCAGAGAACTGTAAGGTTAGAATGTTATCTTAGAGCTACTATTGTTTCATGAAATCATGTTCAGGAAAATTATTCATTAATTGGCTTTAATCTTGGCGGGAAGTTCATCTATGGATAGATCTGTTTCTATTTGCTTCCACTAGTATTACTAATATTTATGTTTCTTTTGTATCTTCCGTCCTCAACTCCATCAGATGTATATTATAGGCATAGGAATAGCTGACCACCTTCAAAAGGTCAACATAAAAGCAATGGGGTGTCATATGAGGTACTATGAGTGGAAATTGACCACATAATTATACCCAATAACATAATCAATAATGCAAAGTGACGTGTCTTCATCCTTTTCCATCCTAGCAAAAAGATTTCTGTGAAAGCAAAAAAAAATAAAAAAAAATAAATAATAAACAGCAAAAATGGGTATTGAAAGTTGTGCACCTTAAGTCTATTAAGGTAACTCTTCCAGTAAATACTGCACCCTTCGTATGTCATTGGAAAGAGTATATGTACAACGAGAATTAGAATGGTTACTGCCTGCAAAGATATAGAAAGGGTAGGTCCGGTAGGAAATAGAAAGGTCATTCTATTAGAAAATCTATTTTCTTTGAAATAAAGGACAACCAAAAAAGACATGCATGACATATTAGTCATAAGATTAAGAGCTGTCCCTAAGCTGATGTTCTGAATGGAATATAAACACAATTTTTTTTTTTTTTTTTTNTATCCTTATATTCATAACATAAGTAATGCATGGATTCCTTAAGATTTTGGCAACACTTTACCGGTCAAAATTTAATTGAAGTCACAAAAAATCCTCACATATACCAAACAAGTAACTGAAATGATGCTCAAAAAGAAATTCCAAAGCTGAGACAAAAGAAGTTTGAAAATGAGAATATAGGAGACTACAATAGCCAGATGGTACAGAAAATATGCCATCAGAGGGTGATTTTCACTTTATCCAATCCTTCACATACAGTGAAATGGAAGTGTACTCAGTTTACCAAACCATTCAGAACACTGAAACACAGAGGACATTAAAACGACAATTCAGTTTCAAGATTACCTCATAAATTAGACTCTCGGTACCAGTCAAGTACGGCAGCTCTCCTAGGTAGTAGTATTCCCTGTCACTACATTCCTTACCACACCATAAAGGCTTCTGATGATCCAAAATAATTGTTTATACATCAGGGAAAGCCATATATGAAGGGAAACAGTTAAAGAGGATAGTTGAACTTCAAAGGCTACGAACCTCCAAGAAGTTCAGAAGTATCAGAGCGAAGTAGTTAAGGGACCAAATGATGTCGAACTGTATAAATATTAAGTATGAATTTAAGGAGCTTTCATAGGTTGACTGATCAAGTATCTCTTCGGGTATCCCGATTCCATCTTCAGCCTGCAGTGAAAGCATTTAGTATTGTCAGAAGATAGTCAGAGGAAGATATAGTTTCAAATTTAACAAAATAAAAACACTAACGAATTTGAAGTGATGGCTCCACTCGATTTATAGCTTTCAGGTCATGAATAATAACTTCAAAGCTCAACTACACAACACACTAGTTGCCTCTAATCCATCATTTCAATCAACAAAGCAAGGCTTCACATGATTTAGAGGGTAAAAACAAAGGTAGGTTTAATTTCAAGCAAGCTAAGAGCTTAAAAATAATATATATATATATATATATATATATATGAGAAGCCATAAGGTGAATGGTCTCAAAACTTTCATTTACAAGCCTAAACATGAATGTACACAACNACACTTAGAAAACAAAAGGAGATTCACAATAATATAGGGTGAGGAGACAAAAAATTTTATAAGATGTGTAAATTAAGAAAATAATCAGGAGTCCAACTAAAACATGAAACATGTAAAGACATTATCTTTTTTCCATCTCACATCATATAGACATCCACAAAGAGCACATGTTTTGCATAATATTTTCTCACAATCCTTTATGGAAATTTGCTTACGTAATAACCTAGTATGTTTCTTTAAGAACATTTCACCTATGATACTAGGTGTGGCAGACTTGCATGGAAGTCAACTCATAAATATATCATGATAAGTTAATTTTATCTCGAGAAGTCTTCCAACAAATATTTGTAACCATTTTCAGACATAAAAGTAGATGTCATAAGATGGAAAATATCGTCCGAGTACACCTTTACATACTAGCATTATGGATTATAGTATTAAAACATTATTTTAAAAATATGAAATGAAATGTCAGTCAAAGAATTGTGATTTCAACTTTCTTGTTGCCATCCTCCTCACAATTCACTCCACACAACTAAGAACATTGTGTCGCATAGCCCAAATGGGAAAGTTGGCATGTACATGAGAAAGTATTACACAGGATAAGGAAAGCTTAATTTGTTGCTCTCCACAAATATCTCTATTATTGGAGAAAGAATTCTGAAACCAAGGGGCCCCAAAAATCATCCTTACTGTCATTTAAGGAAAACCACAAGTATCAAAAAAATAACACACATCTCTGGGGATTTTAGCTCTTGACAAAAGAAGGTACACCAATTTATTAACTTTCAGAAATCAGAATATCCTATTAAGATTAACTCATCTCATACCAAAGAGAACTCCCTCCACACCACCACCCCAACAAACCCCTCACCCATAAAATGGAAATAAAAAAATAAAAAAAGGAAAACGGAAAGGAGGACAAAAAATAAAGCATGGAAAAGGACATCAAGCATTTGGGCTATAAACAATATCACAATAGTACAAAAAAATCATTTCAAAAAGAAATTCAATTATTCCCATATGTAGAAATGCATACTTATTATATATTATATGTCAAACTTGTATTTATATTGTTTTGTTAAGTATGACATTTCTACTCAAAGTTAGGGCAGAGAAGAAGAATTAGGGACACACAACACATCTCTAGACTACCAATTACGCATTCTGATAGAATAGTAGAATATAAGAATTGAAGAGTAATGGTAGAGATAGACTGCAATAATAAGATTTGGGTAAAAGAAAATCGTACGAGATCAACCAAAGCAGCAGCCTTTTGATAGGGCGATCCATGAGCAATAGCATCTGATCTTCTATTGAACAAAGGCTTCCTGCGCCGTCCACTTGGGCTGTCACCCAGCAAACCCACATCCATTATATTATTCTGCCTATTACTTTACTATTATCCCACACACATACACACAGAGATGAGATGAGATTCAGATTACGGGCTTCTTAGACTTTGATTTCTGTGTTTTGGTGCCAAGACCAATCATGTGATGTGTCTATATATATAAAAATCAAATTACGGACTTCGATTGTCTGGTTTTCGGACTTAGATATTCATTGGTATTGAAGAGGTGGGGTGGGAGAGGAGGGAGAGTGTAAGTGGGGGCTACCAAACTGTCGGCATGCCATTAGATTAGTTTAGTCATCCACAAAATTTCTTCATCCCAATTTCTTGGATGAAAGATTATTTTTATTAATTATTTGGGACCCAACCTAATGTAAAACATGGGGATCTTTAAATCGACATCGTTACAAATATGGCTGCACACAAACCGGGCGACTTGCGAGCGTTCAAGTCAAAGTTCAGTTCGAGCTCGAGCTCAAATTTTGCCTTGTCGAGCGACTCGAGATTATGTTAAATTACTAAAATACTCCTTTTATATATATGTATCATAATATTAATATATGTACTTAATGATAATTTTACAAAATTGCTTGAAAAATTTCGAACCGAACTCGAGCATTACGAAATTAGTCAAACTCGAGCAGCTAAAAAAAATCAATCCTGCTTGATAAAGTCAATGCTCGACTCGGCTCGACTCGTTTGCAGCCCTTGTTACAAAGCCAAGGGATTAAATTATAAGGAATTAACATGAGGTTTTAGGAGAACCGTGTGTTAGATATTTGAATCGACATCATTCGAACTATTTTGTATATTTTAACTATATTCTTTGTAGATCACTTGTAAGGAATCAAGACTAAATAAAGGGAAGATCATTTAATTATTAAGTTTTTTATGTTTATTTATTTATATTGAATTAAGATAAACTTGTGATTTTATTTCTTTATTTATTGAAGAAACACGTTGCATGGAGAATTGGCACGCGGGACTGGGGCAGGGATGCAGTATGAGGCTTACATGAAAATGGATCATGGAGATATGAAGCAGTTGGAACGAGATTCTCCAAATATCGCATAATATCGAAAGAGGTGTTTTTACACGGCTTCGGAACTTCCAAATGATTTGAAGTAAGAAGCATGGTCTTTCCAACTGTTTTCGAATGCCTGCTCATGTTTCAGTGCTTTCTGAAGCTAATAGTAAGCTAAGCATTGGAATAGGTGCGATAATTTTACTTTATAGGTAGTGAAAATAAATTAAAAATAAGGTATTTAATTTTAATATCTAGACCCCGTCTAACCGCTGGTCGATCGCCTAACGGGCGCCTAACAACTTCTAGAGCACTGCTGTAAGTGGGACTTGAATGAGGTTATACGCGAAACAAAAAAATGAACTCAAAGAAGAAGAGGAGGAAGAAGAAGAAATGATTACGTGGTTTTTAAGAGTTTGAGTGAAATATTTGGTATAATAAGTGAGGGTGTATTTGTGATTTCAAATGATTTATTTAGCATAAATATATGTTTTAATTATATATACTGACTTTTACTGTTTATATAGTGTTAGTTTGTGGTTTATTTTTTCATTGATTTTAAAATTGCATTCTCTTATTTATAACTAATTTTTGAATGGTTTTTGAATGATATTATTTTGAATGTGTCGTATCTGTGTAAATGTTTTAAAAAGTTGTAATAAATATGTTAAGAAGGCCTAAACTATTTTTAGTCTGAAGACAAAATAGATGCACTTACAAAACCTTGGAAAATAGACACATACAATGAAATAATAATGTCTCGGTTGAGTATTAATGTACCTCATTACGTATGAGAAGATTTAGTTAACTAGAAACGGTAACCAAAAGATGAATCAACAAGCAAAACAAACATACAACGGCCATCAAGCAACATACAGAAAGAAAATACTATGGTATCTTCACTAGGATCATAAGCTCCCATATATATTCCACAACTCAACTCTGAACCTGCAAAACAAAAGCTACTCTTAATTATCATGTTGAAAATATTTTACAGAAAAAAAGAAAAAAAGAAAAAAAGACACTTCCAAATTATATAGCCACAGGTTCCAACATCAGAAATAGAGCGGTATTCTGCATTTTACTTTCACATAGTATTTGTAAATTTTTCTTGTCATTATTCAGTGAGTATATACAGTTTCACATAGTATTTGTAAATTTTTCTTGCCACTATTCATTGAGTATATACAGTTTACCAATGACGGATCACCAAATATGTTTATACTAAAAACTTCATAAGAATGCTTAAGTCAAACTGAAAAGCTATAGCTAATAGATGATAAATTAACTGATAGCTCATAAGTTAGTTTCTAATTGATGGCTTATGGCTGTTAGCAGAAACAAAAATTCAGTAGGCTTTTCTGAAACGCAGCATAAAGCATATGAGTATAGCTCAAACTTTTTAAAAAAGCTCACCTACCAAACCAAACTTATGAATGCAAAAAACTTATAAACTAACTAAGCTTTAAGCTAGTTCATGATGCTTACCAAAAACACTCTTAATCACTAGAAGGGACACAAATAAATTGGCAACTGCTGCTAATCGAAAAATTAATACACACAGGGGCTTAATATTTAACAGCTTTCTCTTCCCATATAAAATGATACTTGGAAGCAATATCAGGTGAAATGTCGATAAATTACATTAAATTCTGGAATAGTAGATCGAAGGAAAGCAACACCGTCATCTAATAGTCTAATAATATTTATTTTGTTACAGAAATTGAGTGTGTTTCAGGAAAGTAAAATCCAATTGATGTTTCCATAAAGGAGCTACTGAAACTCCGAAGGCAAAAACAGAAGAAAAAATGTGAAGGAGTACTGATTCTAATAATGAAACAACAAAAGAATAACCTTCAATTTTTCATGCTTAGAATTTATGTTGCCAGTCCAACAACAATCCTGAAATTCTACTTTATCACCATTTTTGCACCAGCTGATAATAACTGGCAGGTGGGACATATTCACACAAGAAAATAAAATCACCTACATAACTAGATACAAGCAACCTTGCCAGCACTGACCAGATAAAAAAAAATGGCAACATTTCAAAGGCAACTAAGTTCAGTAGAGGTACTTATTTTGGCAAGAATATTTTTTCTAAGATAACTGAAAATTATTCACGAACAGGAATATTGAACTAAACTTAGTAAAAGTAACAATTGATGAGTTACCTTATCTTACAAATCAGCCTTGGGTTTTTTTCCAGCGACAATCTGGGATATATGGAGGCCTCTACTGAATGCTTGATTGAAAAGAATCCTTGTCTGCATGTTTTGGAATCCAGGCAACCATGAAAGAAGAGCTAGGGGGGCCATGACAATGACTCCGAACATTATGTCATAAAGGCGAGCTACAGATACAACAGTCTCCCAGAGCAACGTTTTCTGCAAGAAGGGCCGAAGGACTTGTGCAATTGATATAAATCCCCATCCAGTAGGAATAAAAGCTAATAAGCTGGTGAGGATATCCAGAAATTCGAAATCAGTAAACTCGAACAAGCCAATTATCACTACTGTTATAAGAATAATGACAAGAAACTGAACCAAACGATAGTAAATGTGTTCCTTGGCAGCATATTTGTCCCGAGCATATGCTATTGTTGTGAAAAGTCCGAGAGCCACAACCACATATATCCATGAAAGCAAGTAAACAGCAATACTTCTGCTTCCAGCTGCAATGCCTAATTGATACACAATACCATACTGAAAAAAGAAGAAGCGGAGATCCAAAATGACTTCCAGTAACTTCCCCCAAAAACCAGTTGTTCTTAGATGATCCTGCTCTTCATACCACCACTTTTCCCAGCTCTGTTCAGCTTTTGCAAACACACTACCTCTGAACCATATCCAGTTCATGAAATCATCAAAATCATACACAGTCTTCAACCAATCAAAGCCCAAAGGATTAAAAATAAAAGGCCCCAACAACCAGGATACAACTAGAAACCAACTGGTAATGGTCAATGCAATGTACACAAAAGTTCCTTGAGCTACTGGGCTGTAGGCAGCGTATACAGTGAGTATCAGTCCAAGTTCAATAGCCTTCACAAAATGGCTACGGGCATATAATCTATAATTCTCAGCAAAACTCTTATGCTGAACCACAAAACCACGGCCAGTTGCACGGTATTTTGCACCTCCGTGCAGTATAGTTCTCCCGAAGTAGTGGCCTCGGGTACCCATGGAGAATGTGTAAAATACAGAAGAAAATTGGAGCTGCATTGTTATAAAGTCCCAGATGGCATTCAGAAAGCCATGCTCAAGTGAGTTCTCCACAACCATCGGCAAAGCCGTAAAGAGACCAAGTTGGATAATGAATTGTTGATTCAAGATTGTACCAAGTGCTCTATTATTGTTTGCATCTGCCACGGCAGAACCCTCTACCCCACTTAATGCCAAATAAAGCCGACCCCACAAAAATGCATAGACAGTGAGAAGAATCATCATGGTATTAAAGAAAAAGCCCACAGTAGTGTAAAAGAAAGAAAGCATTCTGAAGAAGTCCAGTCTATGACCCAACCTGTAGACATCTCGGCTTAGTATTTGCTCACCATTCCCACTGGCCACTTTAGCTTCAAACATAGAGATCTGATTAAGCCCCACATCCCTTCCTTTTCCAACTTGAATGTATTCATGGTGCGTAACATTCCCGCCCCTCAATGTGCAATTGAATCCAGCAAAGATATCCTCACTAATGTTAATCACTCTAGAAGCCTTGCTAAGACCTCCGCGAGTCAAAAACCAAAATCTGTCAAATACATCAGGGTGCCCATAATGCATCCGAACTTTCAAAGGATTGGCTAAAACACGCTGACCCAACGTTACAAAACTTGTTTCCTGCGCAGACATAAACCAAGCAAGAGATGATACAGAACCTGTAAAAATATGCTCCCGAACTCCCAGGATGGTAGGTTTTCTAATACCATAGTAGGATTTGAATTCCTCCAAAAGATTTCGCATTTTAAGAGCCTCCTCAAAATAGTTATCCTGATTCATGTCAATGGTCTGGACAGCATCTCCTCTGGTGAAGATAATAGCATGATTCTGATTCTCCGGCTTTCCCTCGCCAAGCTTTACTGGACCAGGCAACTTGACCCGATATATCTCAACTTCTCTTTGCAACTTCTGATCATATTTCACCAGGACAGAGTAATACTCTTTCTCATCCCTCCCTGATGCTACCTCATCAACATAGGCAACCCGAAGTGCTTCATTGTTCTTCATCAAATAAAGTATTTCCTCCGCGTGAGGATCCTTTTTGGCCTTTTGAGAACCATAAATCTGGCATGCAACCACATAAGTGAACTTCATCAAAGCTGTGCCACGCTCATGACCTTTAAAGTAAACACTGACCGAACTATTTGCTCTGCTCAAAGCTCTCGAGGAACGGGATTTTTCCGAGGCAAAACCATCCACATCATCATTATGCCTCATCGAAACAAGTTGCTGAGATCCTTCTCTCATGTCCATCTCAGAAGCAGAATCCAAAAAGGCCAGCATCTCAAGGGCACGGTAGTAGTACATCATTCCTCTCACCGTGCGGGTGAGTGTCTGGCCTCTGTATGATGCCCACAGTCGAAGATCTCTAAGCCTGGTTGTCCAAAGTTCTCTTTCACTTTTCATTCCTTCTCTGCGCATCCTCTCAAGGAAGTTCCTCCAATCACTGGCATAGATGGTTTGCAGGTAGTAAAGGGTTGAAATCCCATCTTCATTCTCAGTTCGGAGTTGCTCTTTGCTGTATAGCACCTCTTCAGTGTAGTATGGTGTCAAAACACTGAAAGCCATCATTTTCTCCACGTGCGGAGCATGAGGCATGTTCATGAACAAGGAGTTACTAAAGAAGGCAATACGACGCCTTGCCTCAAGATTTTCGGGAACCTTCTGCATGGAATCTCGGGACGTGAGAATTGTATGCAATCGCCGGACACGACGATAGAAAGTCTCATTACTTGCACTTGGTAACTCAATAGCATTCTGGAAAAGCAAACCTTCCCCAGATGTCCTATGAGGAGCAAGACCATCCTCCTTCAGCTGGCTGTTGTTTCTAGGATCTATCAGTAAGTCTCTAATAGCAGCCTCATAAAGCGCCTGAAGAGCATTCACCACCTTATCATCATCTTGGTCGGGCTTGAGGACAAGATTAAGAAGATGGACCAACTTTTCATGGATTTTGGGGAGTGCTTTCATGTCATAGTTTTTCGTGAATTTCTCCAGCTGAACCCACTGATCAATTTCTTGAAAGTATGTTCTGATAATAGAGCGCTCCTCAGAATCATACTTGACAATTGCTAGTAAGAAATGCTTTAAGCTGTCATATGCTTCAATGACCGCACATCGTCTGTACTCAGTCTTGCAGATTTTATACCAAATCCATTTGTCAGGAGCATCTACCAACTCCTTCGCCTGACTGAGGGCAAGAAGTAGCTCATTGCAAAGAAGTAAGCATGGCCACTGAATCACCCGAATTTCCCAGTTGCTTTTATGATTTGTCCGGTCATTTTGAGGCAGCTCCAAAAGCTCAACCTCACGATCACTGATAATATCTTCCTCTCTAAATATATTGATTACCTCATTCCATATCAAGGCAAATTTATAGGCCTCAACCTGGTTGGATTCAAGTTTCTTAAAGGGCCGGCCAAGTCCATATCTCAATTTCAACCGATGGATGGCATCCTTTATCTTGCTCTTAAATGTTCCCCTAGCATTCAACAGCTGCTCCTCAGGCATAAGATTGAATTGGATAGCACTGGCAAAGAATTGAAATCTCAACCGCAGCTGCTGCATGTTTCGAATTTCACCCAAGTGATCAAACAGCCCAACCGCAGCGCCGACAAACGAAGAGTAGATCGAGTACCAAATCTGGAGGTCCATTAGGTAAATCAAAACAACCGGAAGCCATATCAGCCCAACAGCAAATCGGTTACTGTTACCAAAGAACTCGTGCCACTCATAGTTAACATTTTCGAGATTCAGCAAGGTCCTTGTCGGGGCAATCATCGGCTTAATCTGCATGAAGTAACTAAAAGTAAATTTTGTTGCAAGCACTACAACCCAAAAAAGGCTGTACTTGACATTATCAATAAGACCTTCTCTGAGCCCCCGACCCACAAAAGTTTTACTATGAAACCACCATGTCAACAAATAAAATATCTTCCAATTTGTATTCTCCAAAACATTCCTGACCCACGGCACAACAAATAGAGCTAAAGATAACACCTCTGGGGCAATGAAAACCACTACAACCTCCAGAAAATTTACAACTCTCCTGTTTGCTGCACTCGTCCAACCTCGGTCGTGATTCCTCTGACTCCATATCCTTCCATAGAAGACCCCAAACACTATAATCCACCCAGCAGCAACCACACTTTTCAAAACCATCCTCACTCCCAGTGACTTGGTCTCCCGTGATACCAAATTGTACTGCATCCCGATATCCAACAAAGATTGCAAGAATCTTAGGGCGCTCCATGTGAAAAACACAGTCAAGCACCGCACCTGAACCTCCCTCCTCTCTAATGCCTGCCAAGGAAACTCCCTACCTTCCCAAGCCACAATAATTGCCACCTGGAGAAACAAAATAAGCAGAATCCAAAGCTTATCGAAGCTCCTGAATAAGTTCCAAAACGACCTCTGCTCAACAAACCCAGTCTTCCCAACTTTTTTACCCGTACGCCCCGTCACAAAGAAATTGCTCCCAATATCAATAGGCCATTTCAGCATCTCAAAGCACCTCTTACTCCAAAAGTACTCATTTATATCATCATAATTCCTCCATGCCGAGTGTGGGGCCGTCCCGTTCTTACTATTCTCCACCTCAGCCTTGATAGTATCATAAATTGGCTTCACAATTCTATTAAGAAAAGCATTTTCCCCAGATACAGAAGGCAGAAAGGGTCTCCCCGTATTCTCATCTATGTAGTCCTCCAATATCTTATTCAATTCCATGGCCATGTTGTGGAAAATAAAAGAGATGCACTCTGGAACAAAACGTAAATTGGCGGACTCACCCCATATAAGCAGATACAGCGAGACATACAAGAGCTCCCGGCGGTGATCAGAGGATGAGTGGCGGGAATGCGAGTCCGAAAGCCAGATATTGGACTTGATGTTAAGGAACGAGCACCAATTGGAATAATTCCTCAAGAGACTGCGCCGGAAGCGACGGAGGACGGCGGGATCGAGGGTGTCGATGTTGTCAGGCGGCGGAGACAGCCGCATCTGAGCATTGGAGAGGTGGAGCACCAGGTGCTCCCTCTGGTTGCTGACGTTGGAGGCCTGGAACCCGAAGAAGAGAGCAAGCCAGTCGAGGAGGTCGTAGCTGGGCTTCCATGGCGAGAACGGCGGGGGGCGAAGGTCGCCAACCGCGCGGAGGGCCGCGGCGGCGGCGCGTACCTCCGGAAAGCGGAGAGAAGGGTGGTCCGCTAGGAGGTTGTGGATTGGTATAATGTTGTAAACGTCGTCATCGGCGGCCTGTGGAATATTCATCGTGGCATTTGAACAGATCTGAGAGTTTTGGGGGGACGACGTTTATTGAGCTTCAGGTCCTATCAATGGCGGACCTGGGGATTTGGGGGTTTTGCTTACGCGGCTCAGCTGCAGATAATTGGTGTAATATGGAGAACGGGTCCAATCCCACTTTTCAAATAGCATATACGCTGTTTCCCATTCGAATAATTGTACACGCTGCAGCCACTGTTGTACATTGCCTTTTAGCCTTCCTTCAACAAATACTGCAAAATTTACTTGAGGCATATTATGACCATCTTTCCTTAGCACAGCTGAGCTAATTGTGACGTCTCAATAGTCAATAGCGTTACTTGTTAAAAAATGATTGATCCAGACATATTTAAGAAATTCTCATAGCATAAGTCATTAAATTTCATTTTCAGCATTGAATTTTGGAAAGACATTGGATGAGGGCATCTAAAAATATTAATTTAAATATTTTAAATAACTTATTTGTGAATTATCTAAATATAGGTTTGATAGTTATGGGTCCGAAGCTGATTAGTATTATTGATGTACATTGTATTGATCTATATATATTATAACTCAAGGGAGTGAATGGTAGCTTATGGCTTCATTTATTCGTGTTTTGTTCTTGTTTATATGTTCCTTCCAATCTCATATTACAATATTACAACACGTTAGGTAGTAACAATAAAAAAAATTGATTTCTGCCTGAAAAAGAATCGTGTGTTTTAGTGTAACTTTCAAGATAAATTAAAATCAACCATGATCTATATCTTTTTTTTTTTTTTTTCAATTTGAATTCTTTTTCAATATCTACAAAATTATAAATAAATTATTTAATGTATTATGATTGTTATGGTTGTGTATATTAGTTGTGATGTAAATTCAAAAATTGTTACAAAATGATATTATCTCGTTTCATTTGAATTTTGGCTATGATATGCGCCTCTGAGTATAGATGACTCAATAAAACTTTGGAATTCAGATCTGCGAACTACGCTGTGTTTATATTTGCAGATTCGTTAAGAATGATGATAATGTTATTTTACCATGGTTTTTAGATATAACATGTGTATATATGTTTTGTATACTCAGAAAAAGTTGAGTTCAAAATCATGAATAAACTATTTGTTTGATATTTTCAAGTAATTGTGTGCAGTGCTAAAAATTTTTGTAAACTGCATCATATTTTAGAAAATATTTTACGGACACGTGAGATATGATGTTGCCTGATAGTGTGATATAACGTAATATTTTTGGTTTTCTTAATCCTCGTAAATTCTTCTGCTTTATTTGATATAGGAAATTATTTATATAAAGTTTTCAATGTGGGGTGTGGTAACGCAAAACACTCTGACCGGCTTGAAATCGGCTTGTCTTCCTCCTCCTCGCCGGTAGAACGCCGCGCACATGCACAGAACTCTCACACCGGAGGAGTTTTCCGGTGAAGAGTCTCCGATGCTTAAGTCAGTGTATATTTTACTCAATTCTCCAAAGTATGTAATGGATAAATCGTCCGTTACAAGAAAAGACTCACTCCTATATATATATATGAGAGAGATACCTGTCCTAGGAGCTGCCCGGTTCTTGTGAGCTGTCCTACCCGCGCTGCCCGCCCGTACACACACAGTGTGCGTGTGTCAGAGGTGTCAGAGGTGGTTATCGCCACTATTGCTCTGCACTAATGTACTCTCGCCACGTGCCCTAGGAGCTGCCCGGATCTTGTGAGCTGTCCTACCCGCGTTGCCCGTCCGTACACACACAGTGTGCGTGTGTCAGAGGTGTCAGAGGTGGTTATCGCCACTATTGCTCTGCACTAATGTACTCTCGCCACGTGTCCCTCTGAGCAAAGTGAGATTATTCTTTGCACATTCCGTTAGGATCTACTGACGAAGTCCACGCGCTTTCTCGCGTTCAAGCCACACTCTCGACTGCTCTTCACCTGTTAAGTGTTTGATCTGACCGAGTCCCCCGTCGCTAGGTCGATCCTCGACCAGTTCTACTATTCTGCTCGATCCTTTCCTTTTGGTCGATTATCGCCCGACCAATACAATTTTCCCTACCTCGAGCTCGCCCGATCAATGTGGTAAACCGGTCTATTAGGCATATAATATCCCATATCATCTAGTCCCCCCCCCCCTCCCCACTCTGGTCGAGTCTGAATGACTCGATCTAAGAGTGAGCTTGTGCTTTTCCTTTCGATCTGTTGTTTGTTCGACCTTCTGGTTGGGTCTTGTCTCCTCCTTCGATCGTCTGACCAACGTTGCTCCCACTTCTCGACCACTTGACCGATTTATGATGCATTTTATCCACCCTTTATTTCTATTTATTGTTAGCACGATTTCCGCCTGCCATGCGTCCTATCAAACTAGTACCTTTAATCATCGTGTCTCTTCGCGATCTGCGCCGCTTCGCTATCTGCGCCCCCTTTAATTCTCTCAGCTATTGGATCTCGCTCTCATCTATCGGCTATTTCCACCAACCCTTCACCTTATGCCTTCGTATAAATATCGTACTTAGCGGATTTTCCACCTTTTTTCTCACCTTTTGCAACTCTCAAGCTCTCTTGTGCCCTAATTGCTTCCTTTGCGAACTGCGCTTTTCTGCTCTCGGTGTTCTTGCTTCGTCGACTCCAAGCTCCTTGTCAATTACCTCTACCGCAATTATGAGTAAGTTCCCTATACCTCTAATTTTGCATTTTCGTGTGTTTACTTTGTCAATTTTTGGTTTTTTCTGTTGATTTTTCTTTTTCCAAAACCTCCTCAATTCGCCTGTGAAGAGACACCATTTTTCACCTTCCAAAACCCTAACTCCTTTCCGTTTCCTCTTGATTTTCCTTTCTTCTACTTTTCAGATTCCGCCGCTTCTAATGAACAAAGCCACCACTCCGGCGAAGACGTGACCGCCGCGTCGACACCTCCTCTTCGACAACCTATTCCTCACTCCCCTTCTCTCGCGGTGGAGAAAATTTACTGTACTGTCCCCCTCAACGTTTTCCGTCCTTCCGGTCACACCACCTCTTCTCCTCCGCCTCAACCTCGCCGTCTGATCGGTGAATCATATGATGATGCTCTCGACCACATTTCCCTCACCCGTCGCCGCCGAACGGCCTTCGGGACCTCTGACGAGATTGAGGAGGCTCTTGACGCTGCTGAGGCCGCCCTCGAGCAAGATGAGGACCATGTCATTCTTTCTCATCGCGTTCTCTCTTCCTCTTCCAAGCTTACCAAGAAAAATGGCAAATTGACTAAAATCTCCTCCTCTGCGAAGACTTCTTCCCGTGCTCTCATAGCCGGTTGGCTAGACACTGATAAGGTCGGCCACTCGGCTAAATGGGCCTTTGTATCTCCTGGTCCTAAGGACCTTTATGACTGTCCTCCTAAAAATTGCTATACCTTTTTCGAAATTCATTTCAAACTTGATGTCCGTTTTCCTTTATGCCAAGATTTGCTCGACCTTTGCAAATGGTTTGAGCTTCCATTGAACCAGCTTCCTCCGAACGCCATTCGATTTATAACCGTTTTTATCATCCTCTGTCACATCCGTCTAGGTCGACTTGACCTAGAATTTTTCCATTACTGTTATACACCCTCGAAATCTCCGCACGGGCTCTATCTTAAGAGCCGTAATGATGCCCATTTTATTTCAGACACTCCTTCCAATGTTCCCCGGTGGAAAGATAGGTTTTCTTTCGTCGAGCCTAGCCCTAATAATCTTTGGGCTCCAACTCTATGGCTAAAAGAGCTGAAGCGTGAGCACGCGTCACCTGCTCAAAGCGCTCTGTTCGACCAGCGAATTACCGTGTGGAACCGCCAGCCCGTTGCGTCCATAACTCTCCTCGAAGATGAGAATCTTTTACACTTTTGCGGTCTTCTTACCCACAAATCCTTGTCCCCTCCTACCCAAGAAACCTTCGACCTCATCCGGGTCGAAGATGACCCAGGTATTTGCTGTCAAATATGCTCGAGTATTGTAGTGTTTGTTTCACATGCAACTTACCTGTTATGGCTCTAATTCGCTCATGATTTCTTACAGAGATGCCCGCTATCTCCTTGCCCAAGAGGAGGGTTCCTCTAAAGAAGAAAACGACCGAGGGATCGAGCTCGAAGCCTGCTGACTCGACCGCTTCTCGATCCACCCGCTCGGCTTCGCCGCCGCCAGGGCAAATGACTTCTGCCATGGAGGTTGATCCTCGTCCCCCATCCATGGCCGGGCCATTCATCGAGGAGCCGTCCTTGACCACACTTCATGTCGACCAGCTGTCGGAACAACCCGAACAACTCGAGCAAGCAGCCTCTCCTCAATCGGGACCTTTTCCCTATGATCCAGCCACTCCTATCATCCACATACCCGCTTCTCTTGAGGGGACTCTGCTTGAGGAGAGTCAACTCAAGCGTCCCCCTGTCGAGGGGAATGAAGGAGCTAGCAAGCGCCGTCGCCTCAAGGAGACCGCCATCTCAATCACTTCTCTCGATGGCCCAGGGTTCTCGTCCTTCCTCAGGGATGTTTTCCCCCCCGTCGACCTTCCTACCGATCGGTACAATGACGGTCGCACCCTTCGCGACCGGAGCAATCGTATTACCTGATGGCTGGCTCAGGTAATCCCTCATGACTTAATGAATATCTGTCTTACCTTACCTGTTTTTATTGTTCGTTCTCTGATTCTACCTTTTATATGTCCTTATAGGGAATGGTCGAACTCGCGCCCTTGATCGAGCAGACGCTAGCCAGCTCGAGCCGCTCCATTCCTGCAATCGAGCAAGGGTCTCTTGTCCTCAGTGATCCAGTGGCCAATCTCATTGTCAAAGGGCACGCCCTGCAACAGAAACTAAAGGAGGCGCCCGCCCAGGTTAGGGTCCTTACCGCCGAGAAGGAGACGTTTGAGGGGGCCCTCAAGTCTTTTGAGGAGGCGCTCGCAGCTGAGCGGGTGGAGAAAGAGGCTCTCAAAGCTGCGTTAGAGGCTGAGGAGGCTAAGTAGAAAACCCTCGAGATTGCGCTCAAGGAAGAAAAGG